TTTTAGTCTCCTCTAAATGAATTTACATAGCATGGTCTTAAAAATGTTCCATAAATCTCAGAATTTTATCATTGATTTAATTAACTCTGAAGTTATGACAGCAAGCTGCCAAATGTTTGAGTCCACAATGTTTGAAATCTAAAGGGTTTATGAACTATGTATTTTAATTTGGGTATGCCTTTATAACAGGTTAAGGTATTAGTTGTGTTGTTAAAGTTTATTTATAATAGCCTACTGTTGAACTTGACAGTATTTACACTCCCCTGGTTATTTCTTAGGCAGTGTCAAAGAAGCCAGAAAAAAACAGAGTATGCAATAGTGTGATTCATTGGCTAAAAAAAGAAAGCAAAACACACAAAAAAAAAAAAAAAGTAAAGATTAATTTGACTGATAACATTGTTTGTTTAGATTTCTTTAGGTTTCTTTAGATATCATGATATATCGTTACCGTGAATTTTTTTGGCTACGATAACCGTGAGGTGAAAAATCTGATATCGTGACGGCCCTAGCTCCGGCTATACTGAAACACTGGAGAAACTAAAGGAATTATTCCACCCATGTGTCTGACACAGGCTTTGTAAGTGCTTTTGTTGTCTGCCCACTTCCCTGTCGATTTCAAAGACATCTTTTTGTGTGGTCTCAATACTGGAGGAGTTTGTCATGCCATACTTCACATAGCCCAGTGAACAGTGTGTTGGTTTGTGTGTTTATGTACAAATGTAACACTGCACCATGCAGTATTAAGGTACACAAATGCTAAATTTCCAGTTGAAAACCAAAAGTGCTTAAAGACCCACTCCGATGAAAATAATGTTTTTCTAGGTGTTAACATGTTCTTGTGGTATTTTTCTGATGTTAGAGGACATATCTTGAGAAAAATAAGCTCAAAGTTGTATTTCTGAGTATTTCTACATTCAAATGGCTGTGAATCAGTAGCAGACGCTAAAATGCCGGCTAAAATAGACTGGAGTTGTGACGTAGTAACTCCACTGGGCGTCTCCACACGCGACGTCTTGGAGTGAAATAATGATCGGTGATAACTTTGATTAACTTCGGATAATAATAATTAACGTGCATATAATACTGTTGCCCCACCGGTATTGGGGGTGTAAGCTAGCGGGAGAGACAGAGCTCTCAGCAACGGGCAGGGGGAGGGTCGTCTCCGTGCTAACGGCTCCGCCCACAACGCAGAGGCGAATTGCTAATGAGATACTGCCGCTCTGCTGAAGCGAAGTCCCAGAAAATGGCACAAGTTTTGTGATTTTGGCTAAAAATGGCATAATCATAATTTAAAGACCACTGGGAATGTTTAAAAATAGCTCAAAATATGATCGGAGTGGGACTTTAATTGTATATCATCTTGACATTTGCATTAATCTTTAATTTAATAATAATAAAAATAAAAACTCTTTGTGTTCTTAGTAAATTTAAAACGGATTAATATACCGTAGACAGTGGCAGTGTGACAGAAATAATACAGGATCTGTTTTTAAAGGACCTGTTCTGTAATCTTTTAAAGTGGCAGAGCCGGTGTTCCTCTAAGGTCATGGTTTAATGTAAATGGATTGTTTCCAGGGCTTGACATTAACTTTTTTGCTCACTAGCCAATGTGGCTAGTGGTTTTCCAAAGTTACTAGCCACACAGCATTTTTACTAGCCACATTTTTGTTGTTGTGAAATTACCTGATTAAAGTTGACTATGGCGTGCTAAAATTTACTTGAACTAGATTTACAACCCTTTTAAATGTAAAACCACTGTACACACGCAAATCAAGACTAGGTATAACAATACAGGTCATTATCATTAGCTCTGATAAGGTTGTGTGTAAAGCTCCTTTAAAGCTCCTATAAAACCATGTATTAAGATGAAGACATAGCTTCTTATTGCATAATAAAAGTGGTGCATGGATGTAGAAGATTAATAAAAAATATAAAAAACTAAACTGAAAAAACCTTTAGCATTAGAAACACTGAAAATATCAGAATCAGAATTACTTTATTGAGCCCCGATGGGAAATTCGTTGTTACAAGTTGCGTTTTCTGTGTCTTTGCACAGCAGAAACGTGTCTGACTGGTGTCTGCTGGTAACGTACATGGAGGGCTATCTCGGGATTCGGGCGTTGCAGCATAGACGGCAAAATAGGCTATAAGAATATTTCGTTCTGTATTGACAGGTGCAATATTTGATTTTTTTTAAATTATATCTGCATTTGCCAAAACCTATGGACTTTCAAACATAAAAATGCCATTTATTAATATGTGTTCGTGTCAACATGACATATTTTCCTATTCTATTTAGCCTGGAAACGCTTCCAACAGGCTTGCGTGTCGCGTGAGAAATAGGCGTCGGTTTTTTTTCTAGCATGCACGCGTTTTCGGCGCGGCTCGAGACGCGCGTCACGCAGGCAGTGTGCAAGTTCTAACCTGTTAACATGGGAGTCGAAATAAAAACGGACACACCACGCAGCGGAGACGCGCACGCCACGCAGCCAGTGCGCTTCAGATGCCTTTTGAAAAGACTACAATTATTCAACCCGCCAAAGTGGCTAGTTGAAGTGACTGTGTTACCCGCCACGAGCAAAATCCACCCGCATTTGGCGGGTTGGCGGGTGTTAATGTCAAGCCCTGATTGTTTCATAATTGCTGCATTAGTAGTGGAAAAGTCTACTGTAATAGGATTTGTCTCGTAGTGTAGAAGCTTCCAGTCATGCTGATTTCTAAGCAGATAAAGTAGTGCTGTGGACACAATGGATTATGCGAGCTGTCATGAGACATGCGGTCATGTGCTCTAAAGAGACACATGCGTTTATCAACATAAAGCATAATCTATTCACCATAAACAGGATCTAAGCTTATGTATACAGTGGAACATGGCCTTGTTCTTCGTTTGCAGTGGCCTTTGGTAAAAGATTAGGAAGAATGGTGAGGAATAGCCCAAAGACCATCTTAAACTACAATGAATTTCCAGATGGTCCAGGTTGGATTATACTGGACTTTTTGGTGGATCAGCAAAGCAATGTTGCTCACCAGAAAAACTAAAATGAGGAGAGATCCCACCTTGTCCTTCCTTATATACCCCATTACTCATACATTTTAAGTCATTACAGTATGTAATACCAGTCACTTTGACCCTTTATTTCAGTGATGCTTGTTTTTTGTGTCTGAAGGGAAGACAGCATTAGTGAGAGCTGGGTCGTCATTACAGGCCGGCTCTGGTCTGTGCTTGATGCTTTGTGGGTAATGAAGCCTTCTTCAACTCTATTTGGGGTTTAATGTTACCTGAATCCACTGTTCTGCTCTTTATTATTTGTAAATCCTTATTTGTTTGGCTGCCATTACCATACCTGTCAATGACCATACAGGATTTTCATTACAAGACATTTATGCTTCAGTTTCAAATTTGGGGTCAGTAAGATTTTTTTGTTTTAAAGAGTCTCTGTTGCTATCCAAGGCTGCATTAATTTGACCAGAAATACGGTAAAACAGTCATTATGCTATTACAATTTAAAATAATAGCCTACCCGTTTTCTTTTTGCATATTTTAAAATGTAATTTATTCCTGTGACGGTAAAGCTGAATTTTCAGCATCATAACTCGTCTTCAATGTCACATGATCCTTATTAATCATTCTAATATGCTGATTTGGTTCTCAAGGAACATTTCTTATTATTATGAATGTTGAAACAGTTCTGTTGCTTAATATTGTTTGTGGAACCAGGATACATTTTTCTTAAAGGGGCACTTGGCAACTCTAGTCATTTCTTCGCTGATTTTCACTTTTGTTGTCGCATGTTTTCTCATCGAGCTCCCCCTACACCTGTGCGGCGTATATTTTCACAACACTGTCATAAAAAAACTCACTTGCGGCACCTTCCTCCCGCTGCTCATGTGCATTTGTTATTATCGGAGCCGGCCAACTTTATCGTGTGGAGCTATGTCTACCGAGTGGGTAAAACATCATACACAGTATCATAGAATTATGTAGAATTGCCATAAAGCAGTTTTTGTTTCTCGCTCGTTCTCGCTTCTCACAAGACTTCTATTTCCAACTTACCGGGACGTTATGTTGCGTTCCAGGCAGGTTTTTGAGCACGGAAATCACGACTTCAAACCACGACTCACGACTTTGTAGCGTTCCAGGCCAGTCACGACAAACTACCTGAGCGCAATATACATACTTATTGTTTCAGACACATAAGTAACATTGTAATACATAATCGTGCGTGTATTATTATCATTATATTATTATTAATTTGACTGCAACGTTATATTGTCCTAAAGAGTATTCTCACTGTGTACCGCCTGCAGAAACACTGCATCCGTACTGGCTGCCATTGTTGTTTTGTATGGTTTCGCGGGCTATGTGACGTCAGAGCTCGTAACTGGGAGTACATCGATCTAGTACGAGTTCACGGGTGGGAAGTCACGGGTTTGACTGCCGTTCCAGTGCACTTCCACGGGTACAAGGTTGGAAAAACACGGGTTACAGGTTGCCTGTCCCGATGTTGCAAGGTTGGTTGGTTTTCGCCTGGGGACGCTGGGGGGAGCGGGGCAAGTCACCATTCTCTCCAGAACAGGTTATTGAACCATTCAAATAAACGGTTTTATTAAGTTGAAATAGTTGCCAAGTGCCCCTTTAAGTGGATTTCTTCGATAAATTGAAAGTTCAAAACAACAGCATTTATTTGAAATAGATTTTTGTAACACTGTAAATGTCTTTGTCTTTACTGTCACTTTTGATAAATTGAATGTGCCCTGAAACCTAAATCTTGCAATGTAGGCTATAGCAATTTGGTGGAGTGTGTGTAGATAAGTTTTGCCTACATTGTGGGAACCTGCCAATACTTTTCTCTACTATGAAAGTTAGTCTTCATTGTAAGCGTTCCGGATTTATGTGATAATTTTTTATTTATTTATCGGGATTACTTTTAGGCTATGGTTCACCTATGTGTGTGTGCTATGTTTAATAACATGTTATCTGTTTGTGTTTCCCTCTCTAGGAAACCTTTTCCAATCGGGGACAGAGTGACGTTCAGGGGTAAAGAATGTGTCTGTCAGCAATGTTCCCTCAAGCTGGTTAATTCCAATGAGCCAATCAAAATCCATGGGCCCAGTCGTAAGTCTCTTCCCTCAATTTAAACATTTGCATAACATGTGGTCCACGTGTGTGTGTGTGGCCTGATAAACCCCACATTATGGGGACAAAATATACCCACAAAGTAAATGTTTTGGTCCCCATGAGGAAATCAGCTTATAAATCTTACTAAGTGAAGTTTTTTTGAAAATGTAAAAATGCAGACAGTTTTCTGTGATGGGTAGGTTAAGGAGTAGGGTTAGTGTAAGTGGATATAATATACAGTACATCCCCATAAAACATGAAAACACAACGTGTGTGCGCGTGTGTGTATTCATTCGTTATTTTCAATTTCTTGAGTGTTTTCTGCAGACTTATTTCTAAAAAGGCCCAGGAGCTATAACCCTCCATAATGCTGTATTGGCCTGCATGTCTCTGAGGGGAGAGGACAGACCCCTGTTCAACAGATTAGAGTCTGTGTAGTGTCTGGGTAAACAGAGGCAGAACGCTGTGATGTTTTATAAAGGCCAGAGGTGAAGAGCGTCTGAGCTTTGTGTCTATGTTTGCTCTTTGGTTGAACAAATGTAGAGAGTCTGAACATGCCTGGGACATTTCTGCTATGCAGTCTTTCCCATTTTATGAATTGGATGAAATGTTAATGTTTTTTTTAAAGATGGGAATCGGTATTACTTTTCTTTTATCACACAATTAAGTCAACATAATAGTGTAGTAACATAATCATTTTAAATAATTTAACTTCTTTGGTTTTAATGAATGGTCCCATTTTTGCCATGTCACCTACTGTAACGAAAACATCAGAAACTGATTTAATATGAAATATTCCAGGTGTTCCTTCATTTTTTCGTTCTTAAATAAAAATGTTAAAAACAATTAAATTAAAATTTTGATAAAATTATAGAAATCAATATAATACTACATTTTCAGATGATGGTTACAACAAAAATAATTATCAAAATTAACTTTAGGAGCTGGTTGCATAATCATAACCACTATGTAAAGACTGTGTCTTAAGAACTGCTTTAACTAGCAATTAGCCAAAAGGTAATCAGTCCTACTATTCAGATTCAAATTAAACCAATCTAGATTTTTATTTAACCTTCTTAAATACAAAACGTTATGACCAGTCTTGAAGAAAAAAATTACGATGACTATCTTTTAAGACTAGTCTAAGCAGTTTATGCAGCCACAGCTTCTACAGGGAAACGGAGGAAAGAAATGGTTGCAATAGAAGTGTGAAAGCGTTCTGTAATACCTGTCTATGTCTAAAGATTGATCTGATTGATCAGACAGGTAAACTGAAGAAATCTGAGCTGTGGGTTAGGATACAAACACTCTAAACATAGCTGAACATCTTCCAAATAAAAATAAATGATGGACTGACCTTTTAGTGCTCAAAATCCTGTTACAGGCATACATCATGCTGCCCTACACAGCCTACACAGCTCAAGAAAGTATGTGTATATATGTTTTTTTTAAACTAAACCTAATCTTTATAACAATTGTTGATATGTATCTCATATGCTTTTTATAAACCTGTCAAGTCCGACAGGACACAGGAAAGACGTATGAGCCTAAAGTCCATTATATAACCTCTCTTCCCCTCCTCATGAGTCATGACTCTTTTTAGACTGTGCAGGTTGTAAGGAGGAGATCAAACAGGGTCAATCTCTGCTGGCGTTAGAGAAACAGTGGCACGTCAGCTGCTTCAGGTGTCAGACCTGTGGCCTGGTCCTGACCGGGGAGTACATCAGCAAGTGAGTGACCACTGCTTCTGTTGACCTATTGGCTTACTTTCAACCTAAACATTACACACATTGGGTCTCATTCATGAAACACGAGCGGAACGAATTTTTGTGTAAATCGTGTGTAAAGTGGTTCTGGCGTAAATTTTCGGATTCATTAAAATGTTCGTATTTTCCAAATACGAAAAGAAATCTACACCCGCTCCCAGCCACGCGTAAATAGTGAGTTTAACATCCGAACGTTTTGCTCATTAATAACTAAGGCTGCATTTTAATTCACCTCAATCAGGTACATATTTACACAGCATTTTGAAAAAAATATTATATATAGTAATTACATACGGTTTTTCTTTTTACTTCTGGGACTGTTTGATTAACAGATGAAACTCCATTAACTGCATCTCTAATATGCTGCCAAGCTTCCTTTTTTTAGTACCTGATACGCCACTATGTAGCCTACGCTTGAAAATAAAATGTGGTGTTTTGAATGAACTTCTGATAATAAAACTTTTATTTTTCATTCGTTTTTGAGAAGACATGTTGAAATCCTTTGTTTGGTGTCATAATATGATGCCCATATATAGTTGTCAGTCGGATTTAATGGGCGGGATTTATGGTAATTGAGAATGAGCGTGCACGCGCGTCCCATTTACAACTGATTGGAATTCATTAACACACACACACATTTCACTATCACATCTGACGTTTACGAAGTATTTGTGAATCAGGAGATGAGTTTTCGGGAAGGTCTCTTTACGTGCAAATCACTCTCATATTTACTCGTATATTGACGAATGTTTCATGAATGAGACCTATAGTGTTGCACAAAGCAGCCTGTTTCTCATTTTTAAAACCACATCCAACTCTATATTGAATCACTAATATTTAAACATTCAGTTCCAATACTAGGCCTTCAAAATAGGCCTGAAATAAATTACATTTTAAAATATATTGAAATATAAAACAGTTATTTTCAATTGTAACAGTATTTCTCAATATTACTGTTTTTGCTGTATTTTTGATCAAATAAATACAGCCTTGGTGAGCATAAGTGACTTCTTTCAAAAATCTTACCAACCCCAAACTTTTGACAAGTAATGTGGATGTATATATACATACTTGATTTACTGATAAGCAGCTGCTCCTGTTACGGACTTTTGTGTCACTCCGATTTTGAGGTGCTCAAGAAAGATTTAAAACATTAATAAAAAAGTCTACAAGTTCATAGTTTTCTGGTTTTGTAAAACCTACACACCTGTGTTGTATTTTTGGTAACCGTATAAGAATTTGTTCATTCATGTGAGTCTTATTTTGCATGCAGAGACGGCATTCCTTACTGTGAGTCAGACTACCATGCCCAGTTTGGGATAAAGTGTGAAACATGCAACAGATACATCAGTGGACGTGTGCTGGAGGTGAGTCTACATCCTGCCTACTTACATCCAGCCATTAGACCAGTGTCCAACAGACCCCCAACCTAGACTCTACGACATTACCCTGCGTAATATTACACTGCCATTCAAAAGTCTGGGGTTAATTATTTTATTCAACATTGACACATTAAATTGATCAAAAGTGACAGTATATAGACATTTATAATGCTACAAAAGATTTCTATTTCAAATAAATTCTTTCTATTCTTCAAAGTATCCTGAGAAAAGGCTGCTGAAAATTGAGCTTTACCATCACAGGAATAAATGACATATTGCAATATTAAAATAGAAAATGGTTATTTTAAATTGTAATAATATTTAACAATATTATTGTTTCTGTACTTTTCAATCAATGCAGCCTTGATTAGCATAAAAGACCTCTCTCTAAAACATATTAAAAAAATGTATTAGAAATGTCATGGAAGTTTCATTCATGCCCACACACACCTGTTATACCTTTGTGGAAATCCTGTAGAAAACACTGGACCTGAGCAATTGACTGGTTCTTTGTGATGAGCGACTCGTCTTTGATTGTTTTTGACTCAGAACTCTGCTGAATAGACAGCGATTGCGTTTGTTATACCTGAACTGAACATGAATTGATCCATCAAGTGGGCCTGGCAAGAAGCCTCCGTTATAAAAAGATCAAGGGCTAAATATGAGGAGATGGATAAAGAAGCCCAGACAGACAGGGAATAAAACCACCATTTGAAGCACTCTTCCCTTAGATATACATATTTTTTCTCTCAAAACACTTTCAACTTTTATGGTTAACAGAAGGCAAAGAATACACCTTGGAGAGACGAGTAGAGAAGGCTTTGAGAGAATAAAAAAGTGAGGCAAGCATCACTCTTATTGTTTCTGATATTTATAGCTTCCTCCTAAAAGTTATATACGCCTACTACCATATAGTAGCTTATCGTTTGAGCTATGGACTTGATGCTATGATCAAACCTACAGTTTCTCCCTCCTAACATGGCGTAGTCAACACCCTAGCAACCACTCACAACACCTTAGCAACCTCATTGACTCTTTAGCAACATGGTTGAAACCAAATTCGCAAATTCTGAGCAAGTTATTTTTTTATGGACAAGCACTGCTTACTAGATAGACAGATAGACAGACAGAGAGACAGATAGATTTTACCACTACTGTTTCAATGGGTAGTTACTGTGAGAATAAATGATGGAGTTAATGAAGAGCCAGTTTACCTCCCCGGTTGCTCGTCCTTCAGAGTAATGGACTAATATGCTGGCCTTTGATGCTTCATAAGCAAGAATGATTCTTTTGGCAGGTACACCTGGCACCCTATCTTTTGTTGATTTGCTATTTTCTGTGACACTTCTGAACAGGGTCGTAGAGTCATGGAGTTGGAGAGGGAGACAGAGAGCGAGGGAGAGAGAGACTTTGAGTAATGTGACTGTCACAGGGGAAGAGAAACATGATGAGGTAGTTTACATACAAATAAGAAAGGAGATAATTTTCCAGCCGAGAGTTCCAAAGCTGATGAAGCTTAATGCTAATACACACACATTTGAAAAGAATTTGTGTGAGATTGTGCACTCACACAAACTAACTCATTCCTGTCGCTCTCTTTGCTCTGATCCCTGTCAGAGTGGCTGGTGTGAAGTGCTCGGTGTTCCAGCGAGAGCTCAAGTCAGGTTATTTATAGCTAGTGGGACACAGGCTGATTTATCTTTATCTGCCTGTTTGATTTGCACTCATTCCCCTTGGGAGACACCTAGTGATATCACATGCCTCTGAGAACTTAGAAACTGACAGCTTGCTGATTCCTGGAGCAATGACAGCATACACTGTCTCTAACTCATAAACTGGCCTTCTCTTGCCACCTGCTCTGTGCCTCCTCTCCAATACACCCCTTTTTTCTCTGGACTTCCCAATGAGACAACATTTGGTGTATTTGCAATATTTGTCATACTAGCCTAAAGACTACTTGCATTTTAGATGCATCATGTGCTGTTCATTTTTCTGCTTTGGTTCTTCTAATGTAAATAGTTCCAAATGAAGCCACAGAATAATTACTGTGTCTCTGAGCAACACACAGTAGTCCCTGAAAGAATCAGTGTTTTTGAACAAATCATTTGAGTTGACTAATTTGACTAATTCATAAAGACAGTCATTTCTCAATGAATCTGAATAAATTAACAAATCAATTGAGAGAATGAATTAAATGACTTACTCATAAAGAGAGTCACATGTTTTGTTCCTGAAGGAATCTGCGTTTTGAATGAATCTTTTGAGTGACTTATTCAGTTACTCATTCATAAAGACAGTCACATATTTTCATTACTAAATTAATCAGTTTTGCATGAATTTCAATTGATTCAATTATTAAATGAACGTTTTGTTCCTGAATGAATCAGTGTGAACCCGAATGAACAAATAGTTTTTTTAGCTGATTGCTTTAGCTGAACAAATTGTCAAGCTGATTCAGTGACTCATTCATAAAGACACTCACATTATTCATTTCTGAATAATTTCCAATTAATCAGCTTTAAACAAATCGGTGACTCGTTCATAAAGACAGTTACATGTGTTGTTCCTGAATGAATCATTTTTTTGAACAAATCTGATTAAATTAATCACTCATAAAGACTTTCACTTGTCTCCACCTACTGCCATAACAATGTAAATACAAACTTTACATACACTGAACGCTGCTCGACCAATCAGATTCAGGGACTGGAACTTACGCCTAATTATAATCATAATACATAAATATTTCTTTTAGATTTGATGTACAGTTGAAACAAACTTTGTTGCATAGTTTTCCTGTTATCACTGTAAAGCTGCTTTAAAACAATCTGTATTGTAAAAAGCTATATAAATAAAGGTGACTTGACTTGACTTTGGGGGCATCATCTTGATCTCATTTTGTCCCCTTTTCTCAACTAACTCTAAAGAAACATTGTAAATGTAAAAAATAAAAATAAATTGTGTTCATTCTCTGCAGTTCCAGTTTTTTTCCAGTTCCAGTTTTATATGTCCCAGAGGAACCGTTCTCTCAATTACTGATTTTTGGCACTGAAGGATCTCTGTAAGCTTTAAAAGTGTGTATGGTGAGCAAGAGAGTCATTAAACGTCTGTGGAGCTTAAATGAGTCTTGAACAGTATTAAAACAGCAATAAAGGAGGAGTGCTCTGTTGCTTAATACGGTATAGTAATAGTAAAAGTCACTGTTGAGACGAGCATGTGTTTACTGTGTTTATTGCGCTCACGATAATGGGTTCCGTAGGTGGAGCTTTTATGTGCTTGTACGTGTTATTTTAAAATCCTCTATCCTCTGACATTTTGTCACTTTCTTTCTCTGTCCAGGCTGGTGGGAAGCACTACCACCCCACTTGTGCTCGCTGTGCCCGGTGTCAGATGATGTTTACAGAAGGAGAGGAGATGTATCTCACAGGTGAGGAGAGGTTACAAAGGCCAACAGCTGGCACTTTCCATGAATAGGGTGCAAAACGGGGCTTGAAACTCTTCCAAATAAGGACTTTTTTTAATTTAACTAATGGCCAGTGAAAGTTGCTTAACTTTCAGAAAATGCTGATTGTCAACCACAGGTGGTCAAACTAAATTTGACCACCTACAAACAAGACTTCATCTAAAACACTACATGAAACGTATATTAAAAGTTAAAAGGTTTAAAAAAAAAAGTCAAGTAACTTTACTTTATTAAAAATAATATCTCATTTGAGATCTGTCTTTCCTGTGGGATAGTCCTAGTTCATCCTTGTGACAGGACAGATGAGGTCTTTTCTAATAAAAGAGCTCTTTTAGAACATTACATGACAATCTGTCATATTTAGCTGCATTTCCAGAACATCATGAACTGTATGCAAGATTTATGTGGGAGATAAAGGCTGTATTGGGAAGACCTTAAAGGAGAACTCCGGCGCAAAATGAACCTTTGGTCTAATTACACATTGTTACCTAGTCAACCGTTATCTGAGATTTGTTTTCATGATTATCGAATGTAAATAGTTTTATCTCTAAAAACAGTTTAGCCTATAAAGCTAGTATAACAGTAGTATATTGGGCATAGATCAATGACAAATAAAAATCGCTTGTTAATACCACTAACAAGGCTCAAAATAGCCCCACACTAACACGGTAGCATAATGAGGGTCCCTACCTTCAAACCGAAGCATTGAGAACTTTGTCAGTGTCCAGACAGTTTAATAAGAAGATATTTTTTACATACAGTCAACTTCGCGTATACAGACAGGAGCCATCTTTGAAAAAGAGTCTCTACCAGTCGATCTACGAACGCCGATCCAAGCCTGCTGTTCGCACTCACCTTATCACAACTTATAGCTCGTTCACATCTCACCAGCGCACTTGGATCGGCGTTCGTAGATCAACTGGTAGAGACTCTTTTTCAAAGATGGCTCCTGTCTGTATACGTGAAGTTGACTGTATGTAAAAAATATCTTCTTATTAAACTGTCTGGACACTGACAACGTTCTCAATGCTTCGGTTTGAAGGTAGGGACCCTCATTATGCTACCGTGTTAGTGTGGGGCTATTTTGAGCCTTGTTAGTGGTATTAACAAGCGATTTTTATTTGTCATTGATCTATGCCCAATGTACTACCGTTATACTAGCTTTATAGGCTAAACTGTTTTTAGAGATAAAACTATTTACATTCGATAATCATGAAAACAAATCTCAGGGAACGGTTGACTAGGTAACAATGCGTAATAGGACCAAAGGTTCATTTTGCGCCGGAGTTCTCCTTTAATAAAGAAACTGATATTATTCCTCAAAGAGTCACAGAGGCTCATGTTGATCTATCTTAATGCCCCATTCAGTAGATTTCCCTGTGTGATCGCTCATATGACTTCTAGTGCTAGTGGCTGGTGGACATTAGAATGCGCCGCAGGTCTTTCTACACAGTTTGTCTGTTCTGTTTCACATTCAGCGCTGAAATGTGTAAGAGTGTTACAGGCTAGCGAACACGCCTCGAGGTAAATGTATTTAAAAGTCAGCAGATCCAGGCATCAGCGCATTACTTTATCATGCAAAAAGAGAGAGAGATATGTAGTGAATGAAAACTGGAGAGAATGAGCTAGACAGAGACGGAGCATCGGATTAAAAAACCCATCAATCTGAAATTGAAATGCCACATTTGAATGAATGGCCTTTATTCTCCTGAGATTACATTAAATGTATTTGCCTTAGCTTGAGTTATCCATATGCTTCCAAATCTCAGACTCACCTGTGAAGTCAGGAGTGATGTGATTGGCTGGCAGGCCTTAGGCAGTCCAAACTATAGAGATTAAAAATCTCATTGTGCATATACATTACAGACATTTTCTTCAGGGAGGACATGGTGTCAGTGCCTACTCAAATTGTTTTTTTAAAAGCACAAAATAATATATATATATATATATATAATATCAAAATATATTTTAAATGTTGGCTGCATTTATTTGGTCAGAAATACAAAGCTGAATTTCATCATTTTATTATTATCAATGTTGAAAACAGTTGCTTTTTTGTGGAAACAGTGGTACATTTTTTCAGGGTTATTTGATTAATAAAAAGTTCAAAAGACCAGAATTTATTTGACGTAGAAATGTTTTGCTACAATGTAAAGTCTTTACTGTCACTTTTGATTAATTTATTGCATCCTTCCTGAATAAATGCATTAATGTATTTAAAAAAAATCTTACTGATCCCAAACTTTTGAACTGTAGTGTACGTGCAACTGAAATCCACATGGTTAAATCTTCTAAAACCTTCTTTTTATTTTTTAAATAAAGTAATCTTAAGGTGTCTTGTTTAAGAATTTTTCTGTACTCTAGCTAATGTTCTCTTCTTATTTGTTTGGTTCTGTGTCTCAGGTTCAGAAGTGTGGCATCCTGTGTGTAAACAGTCATCTCGAGCAGAGAGGAAACTGAGAGTGAGTTTTCCCCCCTTCTTTTTAACAAATACAGACTGAATTTCAAAATGCCTTCAGATCTTACTCTGAAGCTCTGGTGATTTCTTCCTTATTTTATTTTACAGCTCAGACGCACATCAGAAACCTCCATCTCTCCCCCAGGCTCCAGCATTAGTTCACCCAGCAGAGTCATCTGTGTAAGTATCCACTGTCCAGCTCATCTAAATGTCAACTAAATGATGGTGGTAGAGCTGTAAATAAAATAAAAAAATTGGCATAATGTGTACATGTTAATGTGCAAGTTAAAAGTACAGTTCACCCAAAATTGTAATTCTGTCATCATTCACTCACCCTCATGTCGATCCAAATCAGTATGAGTGCATTTTCTTCTGTGGAAATTTGGCAAAATGCAGTTGGTCATTTAATGGGGTTTCTTTCAAGCTTCAAATAGAATGCAAAAACACAGTCATTAAAACCGTGACCTATATTCCAAATCTTCTGAAGCCGTACTATAGATTTGTATGAGAAACAGATCGAAATTGATTATATAAATTATGACAGAACATCCGTTTTTTGAGTGAACTATTCTTTTAATGTTAACACTGATGTTTGACATACACTACCATTCAAAAGTTTGGTTATTTTATTATTTTATATGTTTCCTGGGTTGCCCTTATAATGTTAGTGTTTTTTAGATCAAAAATAGTCATAATTTAGAAATAAAAGGCATTTTTTCTAGCCTGATTTTAGCCTCTGATTTGAACGCTCTGTTTGTAGGGGCGTGTCTGCTCTGGGATTCAGTGTAGCCGGCCACTGCTGTGATTGGCTGACATGCTTGCATATGAAATAGCGTCTCGGGTTACGTATGTAACCCTTGTTCCCTGAGAAAGGGAACGAGACACTGCGTCGGTGACGACACTAGGGGAACGCCCTTCAGCGTAGCACGTCTGAATTTATGAATGAAACCGAATCCAATCCTATTGGCGTTGCGTGATGACGTAGCGTGTGACGGCATAAGCGGATGTGTACAAAAGCACGCCGGCACACAGAAAATGTCAGCTTTTGCTATGAAGCAAGTGCTCTAAGCAGGGTGAGGCGTGGCGAACCGACGCAGTGTCTCGTTCCCTTTCTCAGGGAACAAGGGTTACATACGTAACCCGAGACGTTCCCTTTCGAGGGAACTCGAACTGCGTCGGTGACGACACTAGGGGAACGAGATACCCACTATGCCACAACGAACCCCGCTCATCCTAGTGTGAAGCTGTCTTCAGGCACAACTTAGGACGAAAGCACTCGTGCACCGGGTGTAGAGGGAAGGTCCAGACTGTAAAACCTCATGAATGTGTGCGGAGTGGCCCAGCCAGCCGCCTCACATATGTCATGTATGGAAACCCCTGAAAGGAGGGCTCTAGAGGACGCCATGCCTCTGGTGGAGTGAGCCCTCACGGCCATAGGTGAAGGCAAATTGCGCACCTGATAGGCCAGGGAAATAGTCTGAACGATCCAGTTGCTGATGGTCTGCTTAGAGGCGGGAAGCCCCTTCTTGGGAGACCCAAAACACACCAGCAACTGGTCCGACTTCCGCCATGAGGAGGACTTCTGGATGTAATACTGAAGTGCTCTGACAGGGCAGAGCAGATGAAGTCTCTCCTCATCCGCCGTCACATGAGGCGGAGGATGAAATGCCTGCAGAACCAAAGGCCGTGCCCCATTAGATGGCACCTTGGGCAAATAGCCAGGCCTGGGGTGAAGGATAGCCTTAATGTTGCCGGGAGCAAACTCCAAGCACTCATTGGAAATAGAGAGCGCCTGGAGATCTCCTACCCTCCTCAGAGAAGTAATAGCCAACAAAAAGACCACCTTAAATGAAAGGTTCTTGGCCTCAGCCGACTCCAATGGTTCGAAGGGGGCCTCGGCCAGCCCTTCGAGCACCACTGCCAGGTCCCAAGAGGGAACCCTGGTGCGAGTCGCAGGTCTCATCCTCCAGGCTCCACGGAGGAAACGGACGACCAGGTGATGCCTCCCCAGAGGACCATCACTCAGAGGAGCGTGGAAAGCCGCAATGGCAGCCACATAAACCTTGAGTGTGGACGGGGTAAGCCCGGCAGAAAAGCGGTCTTGGAGAAACTCCAGTACTGAAGCCACTGGGCAGTTAACTGGGTCCAAATCACGCTCTCTGCACCAAATGGAAAATACATTCCACTTAAGGCCGTATAATTTCCTCGTGGAGGGAGCTCTGGAAGTTAGTATAGTCTCAACTACTTCTGCTGACAGGCCGGCTTCTAGGTACTGTGCCCCCTCAGGGGCCAGACCCACAGTTTCCACAGCTCGGGCCGAGGGTGGAGAACTGAGCCCCCCGCCTGAGACAACAGGTCCCTCCTCAGAGGGATCTGCCATGGCGGGCCTGCCAAAAGCAAGATGATGTCCGAGAACCATACTCGGGCCGGCCAAAACGGGGCTACTAATAGTAGGCTGACTCCGTCCTGACGGACCCTCTCCAGAACTGCTGGGAGCAGAGCGATTGGGGGAAAGGCGTACAGACGCAGCCTCGGCCACGTCTGCACAATGGCATCCAACCCCAGCGGGGCTAGATGTGTGAGGGAGAACCACAGTGGGCAGTGTGTCGTCTCTCGAGACGCAAATAGGTCCACTTCCACTGGGCCAAACCTCTCGCATATTAACTCCACCACCTCGGGGTGGAGTCTCCATTCCCCGGGCCTCAGCCCCTGCCTCGACAGCATGTCTGCTCCCTGGTTCTGGTCCCCCGGGACATACATCGCCCTGAGAGACGACAGTCTCCGCTGGGACCACAGGAGGATCTGATGCGCCAGTCTGCACAGAGGGCGCGACCTCAGACCCCCCTGATGATTTAAGTAAGATACCACCGACATGTTGTCGGATCTTACTAGGACATGGCGACCATGGAGGTCTGGCAGAAAGCTCTTCAGAGCCCGGAACACCGCCAACATTTCTAGGCAATTTATGTGCCAAGAGGAATGTTGGTCCTGCCAGAGACCTCTCGTAAAACGGCCGTCCATGACCGCGCCCCAGCCCGTGAGGGAGGCGTCTGTCGAAATAGATATCCGGTGACACGACGCTCCCAGCCTGGGACCCTGGGACAAGAACCAAGGCTTCTTCCAAATTGATAGGGAACGAAGGCATCTGCGCGTAACCCTTATCAAGCGGAATGGATTTCCCCTCGGGGAAAACCCCTTGGCTCTTAACCACCACTGCAGGGCTCTCATGTGCAGCAGGCCAGAAGGTATCACGCTGGACGCTGCTGCCATTAGACCCAACACTCTCTGAAAGTGTTTGACAGTGACGGCCTGGCCTAGCTTCATCCTGGACACTGAGGTCAGGATAGACTCGATCCGAACGTGGTTCTCTGGGCTGGTGTCAACACGGTCTTCTTCGTGTTGAGTCTCAACCTCAGGCTCTGGATGTGGGCGAGGACGACATCTCGATGCCGAATCACCAGCTCTCTCGACTGTGCCAGTATTAACCAGTCGTCGATGTAATTGAGCACCCTGATGCCCTCGAGCCTCAGGGGTGCTAGAGCTGCATTCATACACTTGGTAAAGGTGCGAGGGGAGAGTGCTAGGCCGAACGGAAGAACCCGATATTGGTAAGCTTCGCCCCCGAAAGCAAACCTTAGGAACCTCCTGTGAGATGGAAGGATGGAGATGTGGAAGTAGGCGTCTTTTAGATCTATCGTGACAAACCAATCCTCGGATTGGATTTGACTCACGATAATGGGAATAGTGAGCATTTTGAACCTGAATCTCCTCAGAGACCGATTCAGATGCCTCAGATCTAAAATTGGACGCAACCCTCCATCCTTCTTTGGAACTATGAAGTACCGGCTGTAGAACCCGGACTCTCTGACTAGTGGGGGAACACGCTCTATGGCCCCTTTTTCTAGCAGCGAGTTGACTTCCTGTCCCAACACCAGACCCTGCTCTGGGCGCACTAACGTCCAGACCACCCCGTTGAATTTTGGTGGGCGGACCTGGAACTGTAGTCTGTACCCAATTTCCACAGTGCGCAGGACCCATGGAGAAATATTCGTGAGGTTTTGCCATGCCTCTGCGAAATTCACCAAGGGAACCAGCCCCTCGGGGCTGGTGTCCAGTGTTTTGTGTAAGCCCTTGGCGGCACCCTGAAGCGGAAGACCGGCAGGGGAAAACCGACAACGACCCACAGTGTGCGAGCGCGAACGCTGTCTGACTGCAAGCCTTTGGGGCAGAAAAGACAGCGTGTGCTCGCTGGAAGCTGGCGCGTCCCGATGCGTCAGAGACGGCGGGATACTGACGCCAGCTTCCTGAGGGCCCGACGAGAGAGGGGACCTCGGTCGCTCTCTCTCGGGGGGGGCGGCCCTTGGAGGTCCCACAGGAGTTAGGACCTCTTTCCCTTCGCCTTCCTGGACTGGATGACGGTCCTCAGATCCGTCCTTCCAGAAGGCTGTGGGTGAGAGCGCTGCCTAGGGTCCCAAGCTGCTTGAGGGGGACCTCTAGAAGCGACACTCCCTCTTTGGCCCTGGCGATAGGAGCTGGATGACGGCTGTGGCTGTTTTGACACTCTAGCAGCCGACTTCCTAGACCTCGACCGGCGAGGGAGATATTGCCTAAACGCTTCACTCTGCTTTTTAGTGTCCTGAAATCTGTCGACGACAGCATTAACCGCCTCGCCGAACAGACCAGAGGTACAAATGGGTGCATCAAGAAGAAAAGCCCTGTCCTTCTCCTTGATGCCAGAGAGATTAAGCCACAGATGCCTCTCCGTGGTTACCAGAGCTGACATGGAGCGGCCGATGGCGCGGGCCGTCTCCTTGGTAACCCGGAGAGACAAGTCTGTGGCTTTACGAAGCTCGGCAATATCCTCCATAGTAGGACCCTCGCCCTGGTCCATGTCTTTTAAGAGGTCGGCCTGGTACGCCTGCAGAATGGCCATCGTGTGCAGGCTCGCACCAGCCCAACCCGCCATATAGGCTCTGCCCACCAACGCAGATGTAGTGCGACATGGCTTGGAGGGCAGCGCCGGTGTCTTAAGGGACGATGCAAGATCGGGTGAGAGGTAACTGGCTAAAGCTTCCTCAACCCGAGGCATCGTTCCATAACCATTCTCTCTAACCCCCATAATGTCACTATAGTTCAACATCGGGGGGTTAGACAGGCGCGCTGAAAAGGGCCTGTTCCAGGATTTACACAACTCGTTGTGTAAATCCGGGAAGAATGGTAGAGACCGGCGTGGAGGATGTGCACGGTGCTGCAGGAAGCGCTCGTCGAGTTTACTTCTGACTTGCTCTTCCTGCCTCTCCTGTGGCCAACTAATATGCAGTTTAGTCACAGCCCGTGTCACTACCTCCAAAAGCTCATTATAGCTGGGCGCAGTTTGTGTGTGTGTGTGTGCTTCATGCAGATCCCCCTCCACGACGCTGAGCACATCTAATTCCTCAGAATCAGACAGCTGCAGCACTGGGTCTACATCCCGAACGGGAGAAGCCGCGGAGCGGGCTCCCGAACGGGGGATAGGGGAATCTGAGCTTTCAGATGAGGATTGGGAAAGTGCCTCGGCAGTCCCGATCCCCTCTGAAAGCTCCCTTTGCGAACCCCACGATCTAAGCCGCCGCATCGCCTCGGCAGATGCGGGACCTGAACCGCGGGGAGCGCGCATCTGGCCATCCTCAGAAAATAAAGCCAGACGGGAACGCAGCACTCTCATAGAAAGAGAATCACAGTGGCCGCAAGCAGCCCCCTCGAGAGCTGCTTGGGCGTGCTGCATTCCTAAACAAGCCACACACATCTCATGTGTGTCCCCAGCCGTGATAAAGCGAGGGCACGGGAACACACAATTTTTAAACTGCTCACTCATTCTCACAATAAATCAGAACTGAGACAAACAACACCAAATAGGACAAACTGATTTCACCACAACACAGAGCGCTTGCTGAATAGCAAAAAGCTGACATTTTCTGTGTGCCGGCGTGCTTTTGTACACATCCGCTTATGCCGTCACACGCTACGTCATCACGCAACGCCAATAGGATTGGATTCGGTTTCATTCATAAATTCAGACGTGCTACGCTGAAGGGCGTTCCCCTAGTGTCGTCACCGACGCAGTTCGAGTTCCCTCGAAAGGGAACTACTTATTACATGTGAAACTCTCTCGAATACTTTTACTAACAGCTATTATACGTTTTTACTATTACAGCTATCGAGATTAACGAATCGTGAGAAGTTTTTAAAGTATTTAGATCTATTCCCATCACATAAAATGTTGCCGTGATGAGCATTGAGCAAGCAACAGTCTGTTGATCGCGAGACTGAAGATCTTAACTTTGCAACGCAGTTTCTGCTCTCTCTCTAATGCTTTCACCAATGCAAACACGATGATGTACACACAGTAAGAGCTTCGTTGTGCAGTGTAACGTGCGTCATTGATTTCATAATGAGTTGTCCAGATAAACTCTCGCTGTGTGGAACTGGAAAGATTGTTCTTTGATCGCTTTCTGTATAATTTGTTCACAATTTAAATAAGATTATTTTCATCCTACTAAAAGAAACGATGTGAAGTTGATATTTTAGTCACTGGCTTGACTTATGCATAAACAGTATTGAACAATTTTGAGAGAAAGATTACCTGTCTGAACTTGAACAATTAGGCTACACATCAGAAATTGCTGCTTGGTAGCTCGATCGATTTATTTTCAGACGTTCATCGAGGCCTGCTCTGTATTGGCCCAAGTTGAGGAAACAGTCGTCGGTGAAATGTTTGGACCATACAAAACTTTGGGAAGTTGTGTCGGCGCATTTCCAGAGAAAATAAAATGAACCCATTGTTTCTTCAGAGGCTCGAATGAAGGAACTAAAAAATACTTTTGTGTTCATTTGAACATCCGAACACTGATCAACTGCCATGCTTCGCTTGTTTGCAAGCCGTGATATCTCTCGAGGAAAAACTAGCTCATTTTCTCATGGGCGAGCCATATTCTCTGGGCGGGCAAAGCAGAGAAAGGGGAGGTAACCGCAGATTCAAGATCAGCCCGTCTGAGCTTTCATTTTCTCAAAGGCAGAGAAAGATAGCCAAAGCTCGGTTTACACCGATTGAAATTTCTAGCCACTGGGGGACCATATACAGGCTAGGGGAACTCATATTAATGTTAAAAAAAACTCAGAAAGTGACAATTTCATGTCAGGGGACCTTTAAGGAACTTAATACTTTTATTCATCAAACATTCAATTACTTAAAGTGACAGTAAAGACATTTGCAATGTTGCAAATGATTTCTATTTCAACTGTCCTTTTGAACTTTCTATTCAATCCTGGAAAAAAAATTTTTTATCATGGTTTAAAAAAAAAATCACATCTGTTTTTTAAAGTCCCCCTGTGGTCAATAATTTTATCCCTTAAAACTCATCTTTGATCACCAAAATTACATATTTAAACGTTTTTTTTCCCCTTGAACCCTCTACATCAGGTGTGCCCAACCCTGCTCCTGCCGATCGACTGTCCTGCACAGTTCATCTCCAACCCTAATCAAACACACCTGAAGCAATCAATTAAGGTCTTCAGGCTCACTTGAAAATTAAAGGCAGGTGTGTTTAGTTAGGGTTGGAGATAAACTGTGCAGGACAGTCGATCGGCAGGAGCAGGGTTGGGCACCCCTGCTCTACATACTTACCTCATTTAGCCCCGCCCCCACTCAGAGATCAACTCATTCACGATCAAACGTTGGCGTGATTGGTTACAAGTTAGTTTGTGACGTCAGAAACACCAGCGATTTTGAGACTGTCTTTTTTCACTGCAGTTTTAAGGAGAAAATACTCAGCAATGGTGCTGACTCATGAATTTGCGCATTGTTTGTCTTAAAGCATATTAAAAATACAACAGACATAAACAAGATTAAAATCTTGATTTTCACCACAGGGGGACTTTAACATTGATAATAATTGATAAGAAATGTTTCTTGAGCACTAAATCAGCATATTAGCATGATTTTTGAAGGATCATGTGACACTGAAGACTGGAGCAATGATGCTGAAAATTCAGCTTAGCCATCATCACATAAATTACATTTTAAATATATTCCCATAGAAAATATTTATTTTAAATTGTAAATAATATTTCACAATATTAATATTTTTACTCTATTTTTGATCAAATAAATAACATTTAAAAAGTCTTACCAAACCCAAATGATTGAACGGTAGTGTAAAGTGCCATGAAGATTAATGTGTTTGCTCAACCAGTAGATCATGGCACTTGGAACACAAAAGTTATAGGTTTAATTTCCAGAGAATGCATGTACTTATAAAATGCATAACTTGAATGCACTAAAGGTTGCTTTGGATAAAACTAAAGCATCTGTCAAATGCACAAATGTAAGTATTATTGGCCACCCCAAGATGGATGACTCTTGTGCTTGAGTTTATTTGCTTGTTCATAATGTGTTTGTGTGCGTTCTGCAGTGGTGTGGTCATTGACATCACATGTGGAAGTGAAGGCTGGCCCGAGTGTGTAACCTTTGTTCTGTGAGTGATTGATGTATGCGTAATGCAGTGTAAGCATATGTGCTGTCAAGCCCTGCAGGTCCATAATCTGCTTAAGGTCAAGCGTGAGAATGACATGTATAAGATAGAAAACCTTAAAACACTATCTGGGATTGGAGGTAAATAAAGTAAGCTTCATTCCAAATTTATAGTTCACCCAAATATGAAAATGTGTCATCATTTACTCAACCTCATGTTGTTCCAAACCTAAATGACTTTCTTTATTCTACTGAATAGAGAATAAAATGTTTAAAATTTCAACTGTTTTGTCCAAACACCTTTGGACCCCATTGATTTTCATTGTATGTAGAATAATAAAAAAAAGATGAGGGTAAATAAGTAGTACTGTATGTAATTTTTTTTACCAGAAGGTCCAGGTGTGATGTTTTCAATTAACAATAAGTCAATAAAAACAAAATGAATGGACCACATGGATGAATTGTTCACAGTAACATCTATAACATGCATTTAGACAATAGATAGGGTACATTTTAATTTCTAAATGTCTACTTGCTCTACACCTTAGAGACAATATGATAAGCATCATAACATTTTTGTAGCATTTATGTGCTATATTACAATTTCAGTCATGAGCTCAATTGTATCCTAACAGCACTTGCTTTAAAGTGGTTTTGTAAATGTGCAAACTGTGCCGCAGGCTCATTCCCACACTTAATTGTGTTGTTGGTGTTGTCGTCGCCTGTCATGATTGCTGTTTTTTGCAGGCCTGCTTATTGTGTTTGACGTGTGAGTGTGTGTATCTGTCCTTTGTCCCTCTCCTTAGGCAAAAATGGAGAACGAGATCCTTGATTACAAAGACTTGGCAGCACTGCCTAAGGTTAAAGCCATTTATGAAGTGCAGAGGCCAGACTTCTGGTCCTATGAGCCCAGTCAGAGATACTGCTCCGATGACAGGCTAGAGCGTCTCAGCTATGGGGAGGTACTGCCCTACAGGACCACTAGAGCCACTCTGAGTCTACTTTTAGCATGTCTCCCCCTGTCACCGGGTCTACTGGCCTGGTCCTAGTTGAGCTTAGCATAGCTTTGCTTTGAGTTTTTCAGCTATGTCGCATCCGTTGGCTGGCTGTATGCTTTTGTTTGCTATAACTATGTTTGTGCATTCTCCCACTATTAATAGTGAATATGAGTGCTTTTGGTTGAGCCTTCTTGCTTTAGTTTGCTTTTTGGAAAGCTCTCTGAAAAATTCTAGCGGTTTATGTGGTCGCTTAAAGGGATAGTTCATCCAAAAATGACAGTTCTATCATTCAATAACACTCATGTTGTTCCAAACCTGTATGATGTTTAGGGGACGCAAAAGGAGATGTTTAACAGAATGTCAATTGTCAATGCTGTTCTTTCCTCTACATGGAAGTGGATGATGACCACGACATGACATGAGCAAATGATGACAGGATCTTTATTTCTGGGTGAACTATCCATTCAATTCTTCCTTGCTAAGTAGAAAATGTTGAGTTCTACAGGAAATACAAAGTAGATTGTTCAGACCACAGTGACTCCTTCACCTCCGTCCTCTTGTTCTTCTCACTTCCCTCACGCATCAGATGTCATGGAGGAAGAGACCGAAGGTTTATCTCTGATTTACTGTTATTCTGACTCTCCCCCTTCTTTTTTGTCTTCACAGTCTTTGGGCACACTCTCCCCTTATTCTCAGGTAGACGTTTTTTTTACTCCAATTTACTGTTAAAAAAAAAATATATATATATATATAATATTAAATATTTAATTTTTAATTTTTTAATAAATTAGGGCTGTCAATCAATTACAAATTTAATAAAAATTAATTGCATATATCAGTATATGCTGAGAAAAGCCCTCAGATTAAAATAATTTGGATGTTTTTGTGGCAGACGTGTAAATCATTCAATAGACATTACAAAAAGTGTCTGAAAATCATTATACAGTGGCAGGAATACGTTTGTGAACCCTATCTGTATTTCTGCATTGATTACTCATAAATTGTGTTATTTAATTGAATTTAATTATAGACAAACACAGAATAACCCAAAATCTGACCCAGCTAATTACACACAAACAATTGTACTTTTCACATTTTTATTGAATACCTTTAGTGATCATTCACACAGTAAGTGAACCCTTTAATTTAGTAACTTGTAGAATCTCCTTTAGCAGAAAACCCTTCTTAAAAATGTTATCTTTTCAGGATGCCTGCTCCTAGGGAGCAACTGTCCAGAATTTTCTACATTTGTCTCACTGTGGATTTATGAACACCCAGGTCTTTATCAATGCTTTCGTAGCCTTTTCTAGCATTGTGCATCTCTGTATTGCATTTTAAAATAAATCTTTTGGGATCAAGGCATGGTACACTAACGAATCTTTCTTGAGAAAAACAGATTTGTTAGTAACCAAGCTTTGTGTGTCTTTATTTAAAGGGCAGAGCACCTGTAAAGGTACAACTTTATTGTTGTTATTAGTTTAGTCAGATTGTGTTTTAAGATCAGACCACATTTATGAATGATCAATGTAGAAATCAAGGTATTTTTGAGGGGTTCACATACTTATTCTTGCCACTGTATTGTTTATTTCCATATCGTTGGACATAAGCCGATCACTGAGTCTGAGTCAACAGCAATATGTTTTGCAACCAAATTATTAATCTGTCGGATGTAAATTTAGCACATAATTGTGTTAAGTGTGTTAAATTGACAGTCCTACTAAAAGTATGAAAGTTGATTGGAATATTGGTCACTGAGCAAATGAAAATGAGTGGTTCTCACAATCAGAGTTATGAATAATGACATCTTATGTGAATAGGACATGTATGACGGTATGGACATGAGGCTGAGAAGATCCTCCAGTCCAGGGTACATAGACTCCCCCACCTACAGCAGGCAGGGCATGTCTCCCATCATGCCTCGCTCTCCACAGCACTACTACAGATACGGTGAGTTCCTTCTGCCAAGCTCACAGCAGTACAGAAAATACACTCTCATTCCTGTCAACCAGCTTCCAGCTTCATCAGAGAGACTATGCAAGATGACCAACATTTCTTGCTGATAAACAACATGGATAGTGGACCAGCACAGCTTGAACCAGCATACTGGTCTAAGCTGGTGTTTTCAGCAGGAATGGCTTGAGAACTATACTGAATACCCAGTATATTGGAAAATATACTATATATATATCTTGCTTTGCCTTCTAAATACTTAAAAGTGTGGTTTGCAGCTACATAGCAAGGACATAGCATGACTGATAGTGAGTATTGATTATTATGTCAACATGAAATAATATTGAGAAGTGAAATGGGACATTTAGTGAAAAAAAGAGTTATTTTAATAGTATTTATATATTGTTATAGTATTTATTAATGTTTTGAATTGGTTTTATTTTTTCACTTTTCATTTTAAGTTTTTGTCATTTTTTCAAACTGTTTTTTTTTTTCAATTCTTTTTACTTTTTATTTCAGTTTTAGTCATTTTAGTTCTTAAACCTATTTCTGCTAGTTGCCAATGCAACATTTACATTTTTTAGTTAATATTAACAACATTGGAAATGTGGGGAAGACAGGATTTTGTCCAACTGAAAATGACTGCATCTTCAAGTTGTTGAATTAATTGGAGGGGGCAACAAGAGTCACCCCAAAAATTTTTTTAAACGATTAAGCTGAATGAATCATATACAGCAAGACCACAGTAAGAGATTTTTATTTCATGTTGACTTTTAACAAAAAACAAAGCTATATTGGCTTTTTGCGGGGGACATTTTTGACTGTTATTAGGGGGCGTGTCCCACCATTCCACCTACATCCTATGCACCCGTCTGTCTGGCACAGTATGTCTTTTTCTCTGTTTTGAAATGCATACTGTCCCTGCCTGGCTAATCTTGGATCATTGATCTGATGATTGAGTGTGTGTGTGGTTAGGGCGCACAGGAAGTGTGCACTCATGCTCTGGTTCTGTTACTGTCATTGGCTGGGGCTTGCTGCAGGCACTGAGAGTGGCAGAAGTTCACCCTATTACAGTCAGCTAGATGCCCGGTCCAGCACTCCCACCACAATCCAAGCTCCCAAGCATTTCCATGTGCCAGGTAGGCCAGGCCTCAACATTCACCTCATTGGCTGCTATCATCACTTTCATATTCATCCAGCAGTATATTTGAATATAAATTAAAATCTCATTAATGGATCAAAGTCTCTGTAACTTTTTGAATCTATCTATACTATACATCTATAGTATGGCTACTCCATTTTTGTACCTTTTTTTGTGTTCTCCTCAACCATTCCACTCTCCTTCACCTTACCCTAAAGGTCCCAGGAAGCGTGAAGAGGAAGTACAAAAAACATTTCCTGCCTAGTTTACTTTGCTGTCTTCTGCCTGTCACTTACTTCTCCTCCATTTTATTTCTAATCTCTTCCTTTCTTCTCAGCCACAGGGGATCCCAACATCTACAGGAAGCCTCCCATCTATAAGAGACATGGTATAGTGTGCTCGGCCTGCCCCAGCCTGTTTTCCCTCATGCTTAGTCCTGAGGCAGTGTGGGCTCATGGGAAAGATGTGTCTGATTAGTGTTAGTGTCCTCCATAGCTCTCCTCCAGCACTCTCTTTAATACAAAAGCCTTTAATAAATTAGTTTGCAAATGTGGAAGAAAAAGCACTCATATAGGATTTGGCGGGCACAAACTAAGTATAGACCATGGTACATCATGTTTTAGAAGTTGCCTAATACAGTTGCAAGAAAAGGTATGTGAACATTTTGGATTAAACTAGGTTTGTGAATAAATTGGTCTTTGAAATTGTTCTGATCTTTAGCTAAATCATAACAATAGATGAATACAGTCTGCTTTTTTTTAAAAAAACAAATAATCCACAAACTATTATACGTTCTTCATTGAATCAGAGCAAGATGGAAAAAGTATGTGAGCACTTATATATAAAAAGCTGCAGCAATAATATCAGTCAAATGTTTTCTATAATTGCAGATCAGACCTGCACATGAGAAATGTTGTCTGTTTGTTTAAGCTGACTGTGTTTCTCTACTGTTGTGACTTATTTGTGGATCAGATCAAATTGTATGAGCAATATACAGATATCCATGCAACTCAAAAGGATTCACATACTTTTTCCCCCTGCAACTGTATGTCAGGTGGAACGAGATAAGAAGTTGTCTCCTTTGCTCAAGTATTAGAGTGCATCCCGCTTTCCGTTGCTTGCATGCCAGAAGAATGTAGAACTGACTCGAGCGCATCCTTCCTTCCACATGGGGGGTGATGAAAAAAGGATGAGGCTTGCTGAGGCATGATTAAAGCTTGCCATGTCCCCCCTCTGCTTTAGATCAAGTGGCCGCATTAGATGCCACAGAGAAGCCCCACTGAATGCTAAGTTGAGCTCAACCCTGTTGAGAAACCGCTGTTAGGAAAGTAAACCTGTTTAAGCATGAAATGAGCAAGTATAAATGTCCTTCGGATGAGACATTAAACCGAGGTCCTGACTCTCAGTGGTCATTAAAAATCCCAGGATGTCCTTCGAAAAAGAGTAGGGGTGTAATCCCGGCATCCTGGCCCAATTTGCCCTGTGGCCTCAGTCCATCATGGCCTCCTAATCATCCCCATATACTGATTGGCTTCATCACTGTCTCCTCTCCACCAGTAAGCTGGTGTGTGGTGGGCGTTCTGGCGCAATATGGCTGCTGTCGCATCATCCAGGTGGATGCTGCACATTGGTGGTGGTTGAGGAGATTCCCCCTTCCATGTAAAGAGCTTTGAGTACTCAGAAAACGCGCTATATAAATGTAACGAATTATTATTATTATTAAATGTCTAAACATGACCTACTCTGCTAATTCACAGAATTCAGGCGGCAGCCATATTGTTTCTCTTACAGTTGACAGCACATTGAATGTTGTAGGGACTTGGCAGTCTAATAGACTAGACCTTATGGACTACATCTGGTGCCAAATCCTTTAAAAGTTGGTTGTTTATGTGCATATCTCTGTCTGTTAATTCATAAATTTACAATCTCACACCTTTTTGTCAAGCATGTTGGTTAGTTTCTCCTCAAAATGCCATGAACTCAAACCCCTTTAACTAAACAATAGTAATAGTACTGTACATCTTTCCCTTTACTGCATGTCTCTGTGTGTGTATTTGTATGTGTATATTCAGTATGTATGTGCATTACAGGCTTGTGCAATTTTCCAAATGATTAATTATGATTCTTATTTATGATTAATCTTATTTTAAAAAAATCAAATTTCATACCTAAACCAATTATCATGGATAATACAGTGATCAACATTAAGGATTTTATCTGGGCTCAACAGTTTAGGTTTTTGCCATTGCAACGTTTTCACCTCACTACAAAAAATTACCTTTTTTGGGGGGGGTAAAATCTGTGAAATTTGTGGAATAAATTTAAGCATAGGAAATGATGTTAAATCGAGCAGTGCGCACTAGACATTGTTCCTGACAGCATCAAATTAGCTAAAAGATTTAAAAGACAAACACACAAGGGCCAGGGGATGTATAGAACTTTGTGAATGATGCCGTTCGAGTACTTCAAAGCTTCTGGCACAGATTCTGTGTAGGCCTGCCAATTATCACAATATACAACCACAGAGATCTAGAGTGCGTAAGGGAGAGGAATTTGTTTCAGAGCTTTGCACAGAGCTGCACTAATACTGTAGATGTATTTACTGGCCAGCTCAGATACTTGCACAGTCTATCAAGTTTTCTCTAAGAAAGGTCAGAACCATCTCTGACAGCTTGTTGGCTCAGTTTACATATGTGTGTTAAGTGTGTATTTGTGTTTATCCTTGTATCACAAGCCTGTAACGAACACTTTACAAGGGCTAATTTGCTACCCATATGGTGGATCTGCATCTGTAAGTGAAATGTGTTTTATTGTTGTGGATGTCTAGCTGTGTTTGTGCAGAAGAGAGGCGTACTGTTGTCATGCAGATCATTTGCGTCTCTGCCATATGGGTACCAAACTTAAATTCTCACTGAAGAATCTTTGGGACGCAAATATTTCCTCCCTTATTCTTTTTTTCCCTTGTTTTTTTTCTTTTTCTTCCCTTTACCACCTTAAATACGATTCCCTCCACCTCTACTTTCCTCGTTCACCATTCACTCTGTAAGTATTCTCTCCCTGTGCACATCTGTCTGTCTCCGTTTTTGGTTATGTGTTTGTTCGATCTCTAGTTCCTTTCCGTCTTTTCCATTCAGGATTGGTAATATTGTGCGAGGCCTGTGCTTCTGTATTTGTGTTGAATCTTCTTGTGTGTGTGTTTTATATGGATGGGAGTTCAGTGCAGTTTCTGACTGGTTTTGCTTTAGATGTATAAGGCAATATATCAATATATGTGTAGTTTTTGATAATACAAGACTCTCACATGAGTAGTTTTAGAGTGTTTTTTTGTGTGCTTATTCAACATCAAATGTTTCTGAATGCAGATGCTTTACATTGAGTGTTGTGGATTGTGTTTCCTTCAGAGCTGTTATATGTGAATGTTGTAGCTTCTTTATTTCTTTCTTTCTTTCTTTCTGAGCCCACCTTAACACCTAGCATTAACATGTTTCATATATCTAGATATTTTTAGGCGAATTGTATTCCACTCCATTAAATCTGTACTGTGATTAAACATAGATCAAATATACTATAATATACTGCACAAAATGGAAAATGTTGCTGAATTTTTAAAACATTGAGGGATAATTCAAAATGCAATTTTATGTTTTTTTGACAAACAATAACACGCAATATAGTATTAGTTTAGCTATTTTTGGACGGAAAATAAGGTATCTGGTCTACTGTGTTTGCCTATTAGAAACATTTCACCAGTAAAGGATGGATTAGAAGTGAAGAAAATAGGTTTAACTAAAAAAAAGTTTTAAATTGCCACATGAAAATATGCATTTCACGAGATTCCAAATGCAGTTCAGTGATTAATTAAATATTGGTCATTAAATCAAGTGATCAGATTGCAGGACCTGACAAAAGTTGGTCATTTTCATGATCACAGAGCGTCTTGGATGCTCTTACACCTGTTTATTGTGTGATCACTGAAAACGCATACTAATGTTAGGTTTAAAGTGGGCCTGATTGTACTGCTATGTGCTGTTATATCACAGGCTTTTCCAAAGTTGTGATCCTGACATACTCTTCCCCACAGACAATCAATGCAATCCAGCAACTAAGAGCAAGACCAGTGAAGACATTCTCCAATCCTCCAAGTTCTCATCAGCCTACTCGCCTGAACACTACCAGCACTCAGAGTCTGATTACTACCATTACACCAGCTCTCCTAAATGTAGGTGACACATATATTCATAATGTCCTATGCGTTCAGTTCACTGGCATCACAGCGCTTTCCAATTGGCAGCCACAATCATGCTAAATGTTTACACATACAGGGATGTCAGTAAAGATCCTATAGTCCCTGATAGCCATAAACACATTGTAGAGATTAGAGAATGAATGTTAAAAATCTTTCTGTCACACTATATTAGGTGTCCTGAACTACTATGTACTTACATAAAATAAATAAAAATGGGTACAATGTACTTTTTGTGTTCATATTGTATTGAAAAACACTTTGAGGTAGGATACAGGGAAGGTTAGGACAGGTTTGGTGGTATGGTTAGGTTTAAGGGTGGGTTAAGGGGTAAAGGAAGGCTCAAAGGTGCAATTACAGCTGTAATTACATGCAGGTATTTTTTTAAATATAAGTACAATGTAAAACATGTATATGTACACAATAAGTGCATTGTATCAAATTATTAATTTAAGTTTTAGTACATAATAGTTTAAGACACAGTATAAAGTGGGACCTATCTTTCTTTTGAAATCCTTTTTTAGGAGGTCTTTTTTACTAAATAATGCATTATTAATTGCACAGTTTATGAAACTAGACTTTGTGAAGAACATCTAAACAAATACAACAAACTCATTTTTTTTTTCAGTTGTTTTATACAAAGAGCAATTTAAAAAAATGCATAAACCATTTTTGAAGTAGCAACATTTGTTACCATTTATTGTGCTTTAAATAGTTTTTCTTTTTGTAAATGTATGAATTTACATTTGCCATTTTCTAAGATTTTCCCCTCACATAGTAAAAAATAAAATGTACTGTATACTACTGTTCGTTAACTAAATACAAAATAATACAGAAGCAGTCATAAAATGTGTGAGATTTTATAATATGCTTAAAGTTATTGATATTAACCAGGAAAATATGCACTTTTTGCTTTTGTTGTGTCTTTTGCTTTTGTGAGTTCTTTAACATTTATTTTTGCACATATTACATTACGCTATCAATACAATTTGGGACAATATAAAACACTTAAGGGCTGTGTTATTATTAGCTGTGTTATATCGCAATCATGAATATATGCATTTTCAGTTTTTGACCAAAGGATCACATGTGGTTTAATTTTTCCCTTTTTTCTTATTTTTTGTGTTGGAATCCCATACTAAATTTGAGCCAAAAAATTACTTGCAGATTTGAAGGATGCAAGGTTAAAATTTTATGAAAGATTACATATATATTTTATAGCGTATTTTTGCTATCAGTCAATAATATGCCGTGTGACTCCCTTTAGACGTTTAAACTATTCTGTTTTATGCTTCATCTTAATTTTCTCTTTCTCACTCTCACTTTCTCAATCTTTATCCTCCTCAGCTTTACGTGCTCCTCGTAGAAGGTACTCATCAGGTGGAGAAGAGGATGGCTGGAGTCACGGCCTTCAAAGAGTAAGCCACCAAAGCACTCTGTCTCTTTATTTTCACAGTATTATTCTTTGCACTCTAACTAGTAATTAAAGCTTCCGCTCTTATTTAGATAAACCTCACCTAGTTTTGATTATCAGCAGTCTGCCAAGTTATAGCATCGGTCTCATTTAAAGGTGCAGTAAGAGATTTCTGAGAATCGCTGTTGAACATTTAAATGAACACCTAAAACAATTTTGTGAATATTTGCTACATGTCTGTTCTGTGTGTGTGCTCAAAAAATATTATGTACGTACACTGTCCTAGCTGTGTAAATAGGAGAAAAATGAAGTCGATTGGGCTGATTCACGGAGCACTGGAAAGACGGAGAGTGGGAAGGCCTGAAAACGGTGGTTGCTTTGTTTCTGTTTGATACATGAGTAACATTGTTTTTTCTTCTTCACAGAACCAAAGTATGCTGTTGTTTGCTGAATCACAGCTTATTCATCCATACCGGCTGATAGTGGTTGCCTGTGAAGCATAGCATGTTTGTTATTCTAGGGGTGGAGCAATGAAGGGAGGGGTCTGCTTGTTTGGGTGTCGAGTTCAAATATCAACAATGTTTCTCAGAAATCGCTTACTGCACCTTTAACCATTTTTGAAATGCAGCCAATAAGCATCTGATCTCTTAATATCACAGGATGCTCACTCATTATTTCTTTTGTTTCCTTCTTCCTCTCTCTCTCTCTCTCTCTCTCTCTCTCTCTCTCTCTCTGTGTGTGTCTCAGATTCAGGGTGGTATCGGAAGGATGATCCTGAAGGAGGAGATGAAAGCCCGCTCCGGTTCCTATGACAACGACCCCTGGGGCAGTGCACGGAACTCCCGCAGTGGGAGCAGGGAGATGTTGCACAGCATGGGCCACAACAACACAGTTAACGGCTGTAAGTGCTCCTCTAGAGCTGCTGTACAAATCGCAGATTATAGAGAGGTGTGTTCGGAGGGGGTTGCAGTAGTGTCATCAGAAACAGAGCGTAGCCTGAGTGTGGCATATCTTATTGGTCAATATATTTGATCCTTCAAAACCAAACCTACCGTTTGTGTATGTTTAAGATAACCTTTTCCCTTTCCACATTCTGCTCTGGGGAAAATGCATGACAGCAACAGGTGCGGTGTGCTGTCATGCAGAATGGGAGTTGCTTTGCTTGCCTTCAGTATGGCTGTCATTATTTAGCATAGTGGTCAATGAAGTCGTGGCACTGAGCCATCTAATTAAAGCAGTGGAGCTCTGGAACGCTTTACAGTGAAGGCAGGCTTGAGTCAACAGTGACAGCCAGCGTACTGATACAGGACTGTGATGCTGGGAGGGGGAATTCTGAGGGTTTTCAGGAATAGTTGCAGACACAGCAAAAAACAACAACTATTACAGCCGATGCAGTGCCATGCACCTGTTCTTGTTCTTTCTTAGTCTCACTGTGACCTTTCTATACCTGACAACCTGTTTTAGGGCTGTCAACGTTATGCGATTCATTTAAAATCCTTAACGCGTTAATATAATTTAGCGCAAATAAATTACTGAAGCGTGTGAAATTGCATCATTAACATCATTTACGAGAAATCGGGAGTTTATCACATTAGGCAGAAATTTATATTCAAACAATTTAACCATTTTGCCTCTATGTCTGCAATCAGATTTAACAATTTCGCTTCTATTCTTGTGATCAGATCATTTTAAGCCACTAAACTCCAGGAAAGTTTTCAGTCCAGTCATCCAGTAAGCAAATTCATTCAAACAATCAGTCCAAAACAACGCAAATGTAAAGAAAAACAGGCTGATTATATCAGATTGCAGAGAGAAAATAGTCTCCCGTTGTGTTTTCAGTGAATTATTCATTCCAGTGTGTTTTGATTTAAAAATGTCATATTCTGCAATTGTTTCTGAAGAGTGTGAGCCCTCACGCATCGCGCTGTGTGAAATACAGACTGAACGACACTTCAAAACATTATACCGCTGTATAACCAGATGATACGCAAACTATGTTTCTAGGCTGTTTCTAGGCTAAAGCAAACCAGTGGTTAGCTAGTACAGTTTCTAGCTAGTGCAGCTTTAGTCCATTATATTGATGTGCAAACAAACCATATAATGATGCACTGATCGCACATTCATTGTATTTAGGCACAGACACATTTCAGTACATTCATGTTGTTTCCACACACATTTAGGATAATGTTGTGATTTGTCATGTGTATGTTGCTGTGTTTTTTGTAATTGTTGCTGTGTTTTTTGTAATTCTAAATGGATCTGTGTACTGTAGTAGGTATATGCAGTCAGGTCAAGGGTTGCTGTGAATTCTGAAATGTTTTTTCTCTGTAATGGTTTTTTTTTTCACGGGAGCTTTGGTGTGCATAAATGTATGAATTATATGGACTCCTTATATCATTTGGTTATTTGTTGGTGCCCTTTTCTAGTCTCCTGTAGGTGTCCTTTTTGGGGGGGAAAGACACCTACAATTACCTTGAAAAAGGCTTGCAGAAAATGCAGTTTTGAGAGAATCACCCTACAATCTGATGATAAAATTAGTGAAATTCACAACGCAATTTCGGGAGGAGTGAACCGATCTAATCTTTCAATTATCCGCCGAAGCATATAAGCAGATCTCTCACCTTGCTCTGGCATCAGCTGTTTTGGCATCCCTCCACCTCCGAAACTCCACCAACATAATTTAGGCATCTTGCTACCATACTCATCATCCAAGCATTAGTAGTCCCACTGGGGGGTATATCTAAGCTCCAGTTGAAGCTGCTTCCTCGAGCACCTCCACTGTGGACAGCAAGCCAAATACGCTTAACCTTATTAGCTTAAAGATTATATGGGCAAAGGAACTCGTGAAAATAAGATAACGTGTTAAATAAGATAAGAGTGCTTAAATTTTTTAATCTATTGCCTGCCCTAATATATATAGTAATTGCAAATGAGATATACACAAAGTTGCTGAAACTAGGGATGCAATATATATTGTTATCATTGGTTATTGCCCAATATTAGAGATTTTAAATTTATTGGTAATAGTCAATATTGAATTTAAATCAGCATATATTCGATATTTATTTGCACATGTAAATAATTGATACTCTCCTCCTTCTTTTTGCATTGCGGTCAAAACTGTTTATATTTAATTCTATGTCTTTTTAGCAAGGTTTTGTACAGCACTGTGGTCAATTGTTTTTATTGTGCTTTATTAATACATTTTCATTTGATTTGACATGCTGATTTTGCTTAATTTTACATTTATATAATCTTTGCCATTTATCGAATACTGCTTAAAGTTAATCTTAATGAACAACAATAATTTAATAACATTGTTAAATGTAATCTGTTGCAAATGACAAAATGAATATTCATTTTTGAATAAAATTTGTGCATTTTATAGTGAATTTATTTAGACAAAATATTAATGTCAGTGCATCTCTAGCTAAAATTAAATTGACATGATTTACAAACATGATTTTACACAATATTTACTTGTATGTAAGTAAATAATATATACATTTTCATGCATCATAGTGAAATATTCTCCATGTTTATTTGATAAATGGGGTTGGTAACTGTATCCATCTTCGCTTAATAGTTTTTCTTCGCATTGCAACCAACCTTTCACTCCTGCTCTTTTCTATCTTGCCTATTCCTCTTTCTCCATCCCTCCTGATGTGCATGTGAGCAGGCAGCTCTCTTTAATTCTATTTCTGTGTATCTCATGGGGAAGTGCACAAAGCATCTGGAATTTTCCCTTCATCCCCTCCCTCTCTTTAGTTCCCTGTTTTCCTCCTCTTTCCATACATGGATCTGGCTCTGCTATTCCTGCTTTGCCCTCCCCCATATCCATCGCTACCCTTCACAATGCCTGGTGCAGCCCGTGCTGGTGTTCCTTGTCTTTTATTCATGAATAGAAATGGGTGGCATTTACTGTACAGAACATAAAAATAAATCAGGGGAAGTTTTGGGGTGACATTGTAGATCCAATTTATACATCTGAGATAATAGACTGGATTACAGATAGTGAAGTCATGGAAGGTTAAGACAAGCAGGTAACGAACACCTAATGCTGCGGAATCTGATGGTAAACACCATCAGCATTTTCCTTCAGTTGCTGTATATTTCGGCCTCTTGCTTTTTGAATTTTTTTTTTTTAGCGAGAGAAGGGTACGCATTTTTCATCATCATTTCCTCTTGTTTCCCCTGCTGTATCCTTTTCTCTCTTTTTACCTTTTCTATTCACTGCCATGGCTTTTTTGCTTTCATCAACACTTCAGGCTCATTGAACACTTTGATGTGCCGTGTTTCTGTGTGGCTGCTGAGCAGATTGCTCTCTGCTCTATTTGTTGACAGTTTTGATACTTTTCCAATGGTTCTTTCAGTGTTCCCAAATCTCAAGGGACTCAGAGACAGAAGTCTGACCTTATGACAGACATAAGGAGCTCAGTTTCAGTCTAAACACAACACAAAATATATCAATAACTGCATATTTAGCTCATTCAACGCTATAATGTACATGTCAGATAGTTTAAGGGGAGATGTTACTTACAGTGTACTGCTATTGTATTGCTGTATGGCTTTATTTGACCCAAATTAGTGATTTGCACTTCATATTAACAGAAAACTGATCATCAAAATACTAAAGAGATTATAATGTTTTTTCCCCTCTTTTCTTCAGCTCCTCGAACAAACTTTGCAGCGGAGAATGGTGAGTAACTCTTGAGGTCTTTCAGTATCACTATTCAAAAATATGTATATATATATATATATGATGGAAAGTTTTTTTTATTAAAAATTAAAGTATGTCCTGCTTTTGGATTTAACAAAGTCAGGGATGAGAAAATTAAAAGTTGTGGTGTTTAGTTTTATTATATACACAAGATTACAAAGATATTAAGGTCCTATAACACTGGGTGCTCGTATCCCATTGGCAAGATTTATAATTCTCATAATATTCTGGCACGGCTTTTAACCCCAGGAGGAATGTCTCTGTAGTTAATTTGCTTTGTATAAAAGTGTCTGCATAAAATAACTGATAAATATTTGCAACACAGATTTTAGCCTGGTTACTAGCGCCCTCTTCTGTGCACTATTGGACAAGGCAGTCAAAATTTAACAGGCTTAAATTTTGTCCTTTCCTAAAAAAAAATCTCCTATGCTGAGGTTGTTTTACACATTTACGTTTATTTATTTATGTTTATTTATTATTATTATTATTATTATTTGAAGACTACATAGCCAAGTCAGCCTCTTTGCCAGGATATGGAAGGAATGGATTGCAAAGGGTAAGTTACCATTTACTTGAATCTTTTGTTCGTTGCTTGTTTATTTTTTAACATTATATTTATATTAATATTCAGTAACTGAATGGACAGAGCAGCAAAAAGCAGTTGGGTTGGAGATGTCAATTAAATCCTTAGCCACTATTTGTTTGTTTGTTTTCCAGCCACAGAGTGCAGACTACTATCAGTATGACAGTGGCAGTGAAGTCGACTGGGGAATCAGAGGTAAGTAAAGGAGCTTTTTTAATGATGATTTTGTTGACATATTTGGGAGTATTTTTTTTTTACAGAAATTAGTTCTGACTATAAAAGTTTTTTTTTTTTTTTTTTTTTTTTTTTTTTTACAGAATACAAGGTAAGAATAATGATTCAACATTACCAGAGGATTAAAGAGGGCCCGGAGAGACACTAAAAGGCACCTCTGAAACATTAGCCCACTGTCAACTCGGTCGGTCTAATGAACCCTCGTGGGTCAAAGCAACGTCCTGCTGGTCAAAGTATGTGGAAACTGGAGGATGGAGAAATTAGTGCTTCCAGGTCATAAGGCCACTGTATAATTCCCCAGCCGGCTCTGAGTGACTTGGAGACTGCAGGGGCCATGGAGAGGGCAGGGGTTTGTCTGACCCCTTTGCTCTTGGTTGGTCAGGAACTATATTGTTCTGCTTGGTGCCGCTTCCTGTCTCAGTTTCAGCTACTGTGCCAGAGAGGCTCTGTGATTTCCTTTCACTGTTGTAAGCGAGAGGAAAAGGAGGTCCACCAATGCAGTCTGCTGCTTAGTTAGCTTTCCATTATGAAATCTATAGATTATCTTAGAAAATTAGGATGTTTATTTGTATATAAATACATATGAGTTTAAATGTTTATGCTGTATTTTAAAGTTAATTCTAAAAATGCATCGCTAACTTTCGCTACAGGTCTACCCATACGAAGCACTTATTGTGACCACTAGGGGGCGTAACAGGGTGCCAAAGGATGTGGATCGGGCCAGATTGGAGGTAAACTAAAACATTTTGTTTGTAATAATAATATATAATAATTAGAATATATTAAATTATAAATATACATATTTTATGAATACACTAATGTTCAAAAGATAAGAAATTAAGGATGCATTCAATTGATCAAAAGTCATAATAAAAGCATTTGTAATGCTACAAAAGGTTTCTATTTCAAATAAATTGTTCATCAAAGAATCAAAGGTGTGTGTGTATGTATGTAAAGATTTAACAATATTTAATGATTGCTTACAAAAATTGAGTTTCCTTTTCATTTTAGCGGCATCTTTCCCCTGAGGAGTTCTATGAAGTGTTTGGGATGACGATGGTAGAGTTTGACCGTCTGGCACTGTGGAAGAGGAATGAGATGAAGAAACAAGCCCGGCTGTTCTAGCGTTCTTGTCACACACACACACAGAGACCTGAATACCTGTTCCAGTCTAACTAAACAAACACATCCTGTGTCTCAGACATACAGTCATGCCTGGACTGTACCTACAAATTGTGCAACTGTCCTTTGTGACAGAGGCATATAAATGATCAGACAGACTAGAATACCTGACAAAGAAAGAAAAAAAAAAAACAGAATGGTGGGAACATTTTGGTTTTTACTTGAGTGTAAAGTGGTGTTTTGTTTCTGAATGACAAAAATAAGGAATTAGGAATTAGAATTTTGCCTTATGTTCTCTATTAATGTATGCACCAGCAAAGTGAGTGAACAGAATGTAAATATGATTAATACAGCTATATTATGAAAGTGGATGATTCATCTGACATCCATTAAGTACATAATTAAGTAATATTTAATTTTAAAGGTTATAAAATAATATTTTTCAGTTCTTTTTATTTCACTGTTATTCTACATAAGCTTAGTTGGACTGAAATCAGCGATGAGTTGCTTGACAATGAATACCAAAGTCTGACTGTTATTTGTGAAGTTAGCAGATGAAATGGAGCACTACAGTGCTGTTCTTTGTTCAGGTCATTTCCAAGGGGTAACGAATACTGAATGTACACCTCTCTCACAAGAAGACTAGGATTATTTGACTAATTATGATGAAACATACATATTGTGATGGTAGATATAAATATGGCTTGTGTTTGATACAGATGATAAAGACAAAACATACTAGGAAAGAATTTTGGTGCAATGTTTTTCTCTTTTTTTTTTCAGATGTTTTGCTCTTAATAAAATATTTCTGTTGTTTAGGTTAGGGCAGTTTACTTTCATTGCTCCTGTTAGGATGGATCAGGAAATGCTGTGATACCTTAAGTGGGTTTATTATATTTTTTTAATCATACCAGGGCGAAAACGTCACCTGATTTGGTAATAAAATGAATGCAGGGGGAGTAAACATGGATTGTATGGCCAATGACAGGGATAACATGTTCACACTCATCAATTGTTTGATGGAAATACACTTTACCGCACCATTGAAGCAAGTGACAAATAACAAACTGTAACCTTGATTAGGACCTAACAGTAACCATTGGGTCTTTAATGCCAAGGGATACTGACAGTAGTGTTGTACCTCACTGACAAGCAGGTGAAACCATCATGTTTTCTGCCTTTGTGTGTAGTGTTTACAGCCTGTTTGCCCAATAGATTGTTATGAAGTGTTCTATTAATTTCAAAGGAAGAGAGCTAGAGTATAACCATATTTTTGATTCTTTTTTTAAAATAATTACTGCTACCTTGCTAACTTTATTTATCTGTCAGTTTCAACAGACTATGTACATCTTATATTGCAATAAAAGTTTGTTTTCTTGTGTAAAACTGCTGTATTTTGTGATGGGTGGCACTCATAGACAGTAAAAGAAAGAAGTGGGCAGTCTGTCATCAAACCCGGTCTGAGGCAGCACTAGGACCCAGCAGGATAATGGAGGGAAGTCTGTCTCTGTAACTTCATTGAGAATCTTTCAATGCAGTTAGTGTGTGTGTGTGTGTGTGTGTGTGTGTCACTTAAGTAGCCTTCACATCGAAGGGTGCACGGGTAGAAATGTGCGTTTCCAACACGTCAAGGGATTCTGTTTAATTCTTCTGATATGGAAATAAACAGCAAACGTGAGTAAAATGACTGTTAAAAAATAAATAGTTTGTTTACCTAAACCCAACCTATTGACGCTAGATAGTTTAAACTGTTTGTTTTAGATAAAATGGTTTACTTCTACTCCGCATCTCATGCAAGGACGTGACTGTCCCTGTTGTTGCACACATACATTTTTATCAATGTTTTGAGAGCGCAAATATAACATTTAACATTGTTTAACATTTGTTATTGAAGGTGCACTGCATAAACCGCGTCCCTGTTTCCATGTTAGCGATGTTTGACTCGTGAACGAATCATTCTTTTGAGTCGGATCTTTTTCTATAAATCAATTGAACCCGTTCACTAAGCGAATTGCTGGGCGATTTGTTCATTAATCGAACTGAATCGCTCAGAGCAGTTGTCGAGTCAGTCAGTAGTTCACTCTCACTTACTGATTAATATCTGATATGTACAATTCATGATAGTCGGGGAAGTATTTTTAGTGAACCGAGAATGTTACTTATGCGAGAATGCGAAAAATAAGTGAGGCTATTTTAATAGCCGAAAAAGAGTCGATAGAAAAAATGACTAGCATACCCTACTTGATTGTCTGATATTTTTAGAGTTGGGTTGAATATAGGCTATGTTTTTCATAAGCAGCAAATGTGATATGGAATGTAATGACAATGATATAATAGGCTACTTCTTGGTAAAGGAATGGGTGAATCTGTTTTTGAACCGATTCGTTGAAACTAATTTTTACAAAATAAACGATTCGTTAAATTCCTGTTACTATTCCCATCAGCTCCCCTGCAGTGCCTTATTTTTTACTTTGACAGATGTAGCCTACATCAGGGATTTTCAAACTGGGGTCCAGGGGTCCGCAAGGGAGTGCGGGTGGTCCGTGAAAAAGTCTAAAGAAAAACAGTGTAAAAATTTGAATAAATTGAATAAAATAAAACATTGATTAAAATAAATTAATTAATTGATTAAAATAAATTAATTAAAATAAATTAAATAAATAGGCTAATACATCTACAGTAGGCTTACAGCACAGTAATAGGCTGTAGTGATTAAAAAAAAAATTCTAAAAAAATCGCACCAAGATAATAATATTTGGGGGTCCATGGCATCTAGGATTGAAAACCCCTGGCCTACATCATCAAAATCCGGCTTTGAGCAGCTGCTGTATCTCTCGTGTAATGTTTCTCATCATTTATGTTCCACAAGAATCTACTGTTTTCAACGTAATGTTGATCTATATCATACAGACCCTCAACTTCAAAAGTTCAGGAGAAACTATACACCTGGAACATAAGCCTTCAGTGGGTGGCATAGTGATTCAGAGGCTTGTAGCAAGGTTTAGTTTTCAATTTCTCTTTGACCAGGGCTCTCAGATCTTTACTCTTGCTTCTTTGTTTATAATAATAAGTGAAGTCTCTTTATAAGGAGCTGTGTTCTAACAGGACCCCTATGGTGAGGCGGTAGTACTTCTCTTGATCTCCTGAAAGTCCTACTGTTTTAAAAGTTGCTGTTTTGGCATGGTGCAAGAATAAGAGCACTGCTTTTTGCTTGTGGTGTTGGCTCTTGTCACTCAAAAAAATGAACGAGGAAGGTTGTGCACTTTACATAATATATTTATATTCAGTTTACTTATAATAATTGTTTTTTTACTTGAAATTTTTTTTTTCTAGTAATGTCAACATAATTATGTCTCAACTGTACAAAGTACAAAATCCTAACGCATTGTCTAAACACAAACCATTTATGTTAAGTAAAAAATTCTTACATCCAGATGGTGCAGTATAGTGCGACGCCAACTGCCATTTTGCCCTAACTTAATTTGATTGTGTTCAATCTGTTTAACTATATGTATTACATGTGATTACATGATTGATTTGTGTTGCATAAACTGAAACTGGGCGGTGCTTGTTAGTTCCCAGCATGCTTTGCATATGGTTGAATTAAGAGAGAATAAATGTTAAAATTAAGTGTTATTTTATATTTTTTGAGAAAATTAGAAAAGGGGAAGACTTGATAGTGTGTAATTGTGTCTAATGTTCAATTACATTGGAATTATTAGAACCTTTTAAATTACAGTCGGTTACCATGGTGGAGAAGAGTGGAGCATTTTGTTTGGCTGTGGACTGATTTCAGTTATTTTCTGCTGATTTGGTTGAAGGAGCGTGTAAATTTTAGCATTTAAGATGCTCATATGTGCTGCTGCTAGCAAATAGCAACAATCAAAAGTAATCTCACTAAATTAACTAATAATGAACATATAACTCAAAAAAGATGCAAATGAGTTTAATGGAAATGTTAATATCATGTTTAACCAACGCATCTATTTTGTGTTCAAATAACATGATAAAGGTTGTCTGACTTAAAGGAGCTGTATGTAAGAAATGTATTTCAATTAATTGATAAAATGACCCTGAAATGTCACTAGACATTAAGAAATCATGTACATTTCAAATACTTATATCACTGACAACAGTAGTCCGGCCAGGATATTGTCATTTAAAAAGTGCAGTTGCAGCCCTCAACTGATGTTGTTGTTCACATGTTGTGTTTTGGTCTGATGCTTCACCCTCCACCTATCTACCAATCACGAAGTCAAGTAGTGTTGCGGCATCCGGGTTGCCAGCTCTGCTCTAATTACCGCAGCTGCAGCTCGTCACGTTCCTCATGGATCCTGCAGCCTATCTACACCACTCTACAGTAATTTGAAAGTGATTGCAGTACCAGTTGTGGCCACAATCTTACATACAGCTCCTTTAACTTGGTTTGTTTAGATGGAATATAGGTGGCATGATTAAATCATGTTCATCCAATTAATTATTTTTTGAGTATATATATATATATATATATATATATATATATATATATATATACACTCACCTAAAGGATTATTAGGAACACCATACTAATACTGTGTTTGACCCCCTTTCGCCTTCAGAACTGCCTTAATTCTACGTGGCATTGATTCAACAATGTGCTGAAAGCATTCTTTAGAAATGTTGGCCCATATTGATAGGATAGCATCTTGCAGTTGATGGAGATTTGTGGGATGCACATCCAGGGCACGAAGCTCCCGTTCCACCACATCCCAAATATGCTCTGTTGGGTTGAGATCTGGTGACTGTGGGGGCCATTTTAGTACAGTGAACTCATTGTCATGTTCAAGAAACCAATTTGAAATGATTTGAGCTTTTTGACATGGTGCATTATCCTGCTGGAAGTAGCCATCAGAGGATGGGTACATGGTGGCCATAAAGGGATGGACATGGTCAGAAACAATGCTCAGGCAGGCCGTGGCATTTAAACGATGCCCAATTGGCACTAAGGGGCCTAAAGTGTGCCAAGAAAATATCCCCCACACCATTACACCACCACCACCAGCCTGCACAGTGGTAACAAGGCATGATGGATCCATGTTCTCATTCTGTTGTACCATCTGAATGTCTCAACAGAAATCGAGACTCATCAGACCAAGCAACATTTTTCCAGTCTTCAACTGTCCAATT